ACAAAATAATATAGTAATAATGTTAACATTATTCTCTTTTATATTATTTGTATAAAAAACTCAACAAGTCCAGCAGAGACTAGTTTAATAGTATATATTTTTAAAAAAATGTGTCGTCTTTTTTACGAATGGATTAAAATGCTTGATGACTTCGGTTTTTGCTTAGGTGACCTTTTGTGTTTTTTTCTTATTTTTTGTTTTCTTTAAAAAGATTTGTATTTATTTATTTAATGGTTTATTTATTTATTTTAATAATAATCTGATGGAACAAAAACAGTCTTTGGGTATTCATTACACGTATGCGTGTGTATGTGTGTGTGTATGTGTGTTTAAATGAATTAATTATCATTAAATATAATTATAAATTGTAGATATTAATTTTCGTTATTTTTGGTTGTTTTTTGTTGTCTATTCCTTTTTTGTTAAAATTTTAATCAACTTTTTAACTTAATGCATTTATATATCAGTTTTTTGTAGAACGGTTGTTCGGTTAAATTTTTTTGGTTAATTTGCTGACTTTTCAAAAAAAATATAACAAAAAGAAAGAATCAAAATGTTCATGGAGAACAAGAATTTTGAAATTCTATCGAAAAGAATCGCCTATAGAAATGTAGGCAAAGTCGTAAAGCAGAAATTTATTATTTACTTTTACCGCGCGTAGTATGTTATGTAAGCGAAAGTAGCCAATAACATAATAATAAGATTGCACGGAATGTTAAGCAACTCAGCTACGAGTAAGTTGAATAAGCGTTGGACTACATAAACCGTGATCAATACCAATCAAAAATTTTACCTAACTTTAGCTGAACGAAAGTTTACTTTACATAAAAAAAAGAAAAGTAGTGGACAATTTTGTTCATGTACTACAATTCAAAGAAGACAACTTCACAAAATCAGTAAAATGGCTGATATTGATCCCAACTAAGTCGGGAAGCTCTGTTTTAAGGAAGCATATGCGGTGCTTTCTGTCCTAATCAAGATTATTAGCAATTCAATGTGCTTCCTATGGATTTATTAATAAGGCATGTCCGTTATAGATCCTAGCCGAAATAAAGTTTGGAATTATGATAGTCATAAAATTTTTTGATCTCAGAATTTTAAATTAATAAGAAAGAACGAGACAGAAAGTATTAGGTCCAAGTACATCTGCGCAATACACAGTTTCCGTTAAACTTTATAAATGTTAATTTATTACGCGAAAGTTTCTACAAATAACAAAAGTTTGCAAGACATAATAGAAAATGCAAGCGGATAATAGAAAACGTAAAAGAATGGAAATTTTGGCTTAGTTGTGCTTGTTTCAACTGGTAAAATAATATCTCTTCTCGTATCTTCTAAATCATTTTATATGAAATCTTTCTTCAAATAATATATGCATTGACATAGGCTCTTACTTAATGGGATTTCTAATGAATGAAATCCCAGTCCTATTTACTACAGACTAATCGTTGCGTTCCGTTAACGTTACCGCGAAAGTCTTCAATCATCGATTGGTTGGCCAGCGCCTCAGATGCAATTTCTATTTACTATGAGTACTTATTTATATTTAATACATACATGGCGTCTTTTAAAGACAAGACGACTTTTTCAGAATTGCATGTTTTAATAACCCCTAGCAGTTCCCCAGTTCCTGTAAGTTGGGAAGATATATTATTCTTTGACGTTTTATAAAATGCGCACGGCAATCGTGTTTGCAGTAGCCGAGCTGTACGATTGTAAGTGACACTGTTATTGTCGCGTTGGCGCATATCATTTAGGCGGTCTCTACGTCGTTGGAAAATATTTTTTCGAATGAGTAGAAATCACATTTCGCTACACAGACGCGTTTGCATTATTTTTTTAAAAAATTATTTAGTTTTAACTCTAATCGTATCACGTTTTCTGTAACGAATCTCACCTAATTGCGACAATCCTCGGAAAAATTCAAATGTTATTGATTTTGTTTACAGTTTAAATTCAGTTATTTATCCGAGCAAGCTGTACACAAAGCCATACATTTTTGTACCCTACACCACTTGCGGTGCATGGTGGTGTTAAGTCTGTGCGGATGTATACAATGACCAGAAGGACTTGGTGCAGACGCTCAGATGTGATTCAGAAAACAATTCTAATCTAGAAAGTGGTTTTCAGTCGATGTAACCTTGTCCTCCTCGTGGTTCGTTTGTTGGTCTTTATGCTCAACTTACAGGCCATAAATTTTACACTATTTTGATGAAATATACTACATCGTCGTGCTTTGACGCAAAAGCCGACGCAATTGAAAATGCTTTGGATTGGACCATTTTTTCGACCACTTCCATTATAACGCCTGATTTTCAAAAGTCGTAAATAACTTTACTAAGCGAAACGGAGCGTTTATATTGGTGGGCTGTGGCCCATTTCTTTGCTTTGTAATTGTAGAAAAACAAAAAAAAAATTGATGATAAAAGTGCTGCCTAAACTTTGTTTCAGTTTATGGCTTGTTAATAACATATCAAATTTGATATTGCGATTACGGTTCTAAAATGGTATGCACACGTGCACAACATATATCCTTACGAAATTTTTTTTTCGATTGGTTCCTTGGTAGGGCTAACGTACAGGATTCCGCTCTGAATGTGTGACTGTAACTCACATCGTGGGGGAATAATATTTGCATATTGTGCGAAAAGGTTTAATTTCAATATTATGGCTAACTCCGAATCTGCAAACGCTTTTCTGTTGTGTACATTGCTAATTTAAAGCGAAGTTGAAAAAATTTGTTGTAAATCCAATATGAAATAATAAAAAGATAAAAATCTGACTCCAAATAGTGCGGATCGTGTAGTAAACATCATGGTGAGATTAAAGATTAAAGGAGAGTTATGATAAGTGGAAAATTTTTCCGGTCCTTCTGAAATGCCGCGAGATATTTGGATTTATCATAAAAGAAACGATTTTGCCGACCTCCAGCACCTCCAGTCAACGCGTCTTCTTCTTCTGGCAGCAACCTGATGCTATGTTGCTTTATTCTTTTCAGATATAAAGGGTTTCGACCCATTTGGAATGTTACTATTCCTACAAAAAAAAAAGTCTTTCAAGACTAAATAACTTCAGACAAATCAGATCCGATAGTATTCGAAATTAATCCACTTGTAGTTTAAAAATCGAAAGGTGTTTATTAGATCAACGAGATGTAACAATAAAAATAATAAAAGCTGCATGTTTTGGAAACTGGAAAAACTTTTGTCACTTGCCTGGTTTGGTTTTGTTAGCTGGTATTAGCCTGAACAAATCTCAGTCTGTTTACATTTAAAATCCATTGTACGATACATTTTATAAAAAGCCAAGACAGCCCTACAATGATTTTTAGCAGTAAATTTCAGTATGAGTTAAGTTAATGAGCGCTTCAATTCACATTCATTGACTACAGCTACGGCAAATTGAAGCAGCTTCCAAATCAGGCGTAAACATATCGTTGTTTTAAATATCACTGATGCTTTTTTTACCCGCACCTTTCATATGTAGAGCCTCTCGAGAAAGTGTGTACTTAAAAGTGACCCGAATTTTTCTCTTTTCATTTGTATTTACTAGAGTTCCCGCTTAAACAAATTTCAATTTTCCCCCTCATCTCACAAAATCTCAGTTCTTGGAAAAGTTAGTACGAAAAGACTATATATATATATATATATATATATATATAACAAAATTTTTTTACCAATTTGGAATGTCCAAATACTATTACAGAGCGAGTTTTGCCGAGAAATAGGCCTTTATATGGGGACTGCTCGAGAAAGTGAACCGATCATAACAATTTTCAATAGCGTTTGACTTTAGGTCAAAGCACGTCAGTGTAGCAAATTCTATCAAAATATCTAAAAAATTGCGACCAGTAGCTTGAACACAATTTTACAACATGGATAGACATCACACGGACAGACAGGCTTAGGTCGCTGCAGAAAAGGATTCTGATGTTATCAGGTGTGCCTATCTCAAGCCCCTCTGCGTGTTACATACGTTCACACAAAATTAATGTACCCTATACCGCAGGGGGTATGGGCATAACATTAAACAACAATATAATAATAAAAACAAATAACAGTAACATTGGTTGAAACACTCACGCGGGATTAACTGTTAATTGAATAACTGACTTCAAATTCGAAGAAGTTTGGAAACTGTAGAAAAGGACAGATTTAAGTGCAAAAAGGAGAAACTTAACAACTGCAACTAGGGAGGCATTGGCGAAACGAACTCTTGAACTTTTCGAATCAGAGGAAAATTTGTAGTGAACCTTCGAGATTGAAACCGCTTAAGGAGGAATAAAGCGGATGATCCTAAAACAACCCATGTTTTAAGGGAGTTTTTGGATTCTACATAAGGAAGATTTTTACGAAAACATTTAAATTATTTGCATTATTAAGTAACTATCAGCCGGACAACATTAGGAAGTGGCCATAATAAATCGATTGTATATAGCTAACTGAAACCTCGTTGGAATATTTTTTCGTTTCTAGCATAACGAAGAATCCTAATCTAATTTAAACTTGTTCCGAAACGATACAGAAATATTGGCAGCAAATGCTTTTTCTGCAACAAAGACAACTCTAAGCTCAATGAACACGCTTTTCATGGAAAGTTTCTGCAGATTTATTATGTACTTGGTATGTTACGGCGGCACGTTACATTGCTTTACAAAATTAAAGAAAATGTTAGAAAGAAATCGAAGAACAAATGTATGGGATGTAAAAGGTTACGTGAGAGAGTTATGCGGATGAGTTTTCTTTAAAATTTATTTGAAGTAAATTTTTTATTTTCATACCTAAGTTTTCGTTCGGGTTCAATTGTTATTATTTCGAATTTTAGAGTGAACTCAATTCCTGTTTATGTGTATGTGTGTTGATAATCATAAAAAGAGTGAATCGTTGCTTGTACATATATTTTTTTCTATATAGTATTTTATTTTTTATTTATAATTTTTTTTTGTTTTTAAAGGTGTTATTTAAAAAAATGTTTTTTCTTTAAATTAATAAAAAAAAAAAATATACAAAATTGTTTTCTTTTTTGCTTTCTCTTATACGTCTCGTGTATGTTTCTTAAATTAATTTTGCTTTCTTAGCTTAAAAAGTATGAACTTTGGTTTCCTTTTTTGTCTGTTTCTTTTTTCTGCTCCTTAATTTTTATTAATTTCTAATTATTTTGTTTTGTTGTTGTTGTGTTTTTAAATCTCCTCATTCTTTTCTCTCATTTGTTCGCTTGACTAAATGCTAATGTTTGTATGCTTATATGAATGTGAGTTTTCTTCGTGTATGTATATAGTATGAATGAAACAATGAATGAATGAATGAATGAATGAATGAATGAATGAATGAATAAATGAATGTTTATATATAGTACTTTACAAATGTTGTGTGTATGTATATATATGTATGCGTGTGTGTATTTGTTCACATTAAAATTTCTGCCTATTATTGCTCTTCTTCTTTTTACGAATTATATGTATATATGAGTGCGTGTATGTGTGATTGCGCTCTCGTATTGACTTTCTTTCATCTATCATCTTTCATGTCATGTGCATTTCACTCATTATTACTCGGCCTCAAATAAGTTTTTCTATTAATTTCATTCTTGCTTAAATTTAGAGAAAAACTTAATTAATATTGTTGTTGTTGATGTTGTTGTGGCTGTTTGTTTTCTTTGGTTGGTTGGTTGGTTGGTTGTAAACTCTTTGTATATGGGAACTAATCGGTTTTCTCTCATTTCTAAAACTTTTTTCTAATTTGCTTAACAATTTTCTGGTTTTCATTTAGAAATTTCATGTTCTTTATTAGTATCTGGCTGTTTGTATACACATTTACCTGTGGGATGTTTAATTATGGTTTTTGTTGGTATATGTTTTAGATTTTTCATTGAGTGTGTCTGTATGCTGGCATGAGGATGTGTATGCATCACTTACAAATCTAAATCGGTGTGATTATTCGTTTCCGGTCCGTACATATTGGCCAATTTATCGAAACGTGGGCCCCACGAACCCAGGTAATCATATTCTTGAGCTTCGTCATCAGTACCTAATTTGGAGAAATCGGTCAAAAGTGAAATGATAAATTAAAGATTATTAATATATATATATACATGTACACATACACACACACGCGCGCGCTCGCACGAGAATAATCAAAATTCAAAATATATAAATTACTTTTAATTAAAATATTTGTTTTTTTTTTCTCCACTTTATAATTTACACCCAATATTCGGCAGTGTTTGAGTGTAGTTTTAGGCGTAGGCCTGTAATGTCAAAAATAATATATATTTTCTTAAAAATTTATACAAATATTAAAAAAAAAATCGTTTACTTTAATTAACTAAAAGTTCTAGCTGCGGTTACATAGTGGACTGCCAGGAGTTTAAAAAAATATATATCAATGGAAAAGTGCACAATTTGTTTTGAAATTTATGTAATAAGAAGAAAAAAGATGGGAAAATTACTTATGCCTACTATTGAAGTGATGATTAAAATTAATTACTTTTACTTTGATTATTCTATACGTAACTAAAATGTTGATATGGAGAAAACTAATAATCGATACATTTGTGACGCAGTCGTTAAACGTCTTTTTCACGTCTTTCTCATCATGAATCGAGTGTATACGCAAATTAGGAAAACGTCAACTGCCTCTCTCTGCGTCAAGAATTGACTTGAAAAAATTTTGGGTTTCTTATGAGGGACTAAACAGTGATTACGTTTGCGGCAGCATCTGGATGCCCGTATTGTCTCGGCAGAAATGTCCAGAAAGAATCGCTTCCTTCGAATTACTGCTTAAGTGCTTGGGGTTCAGGACATATTAAGTTCGTGCGGAAAGTTACAATACTCAGAAAGACTTAAGGTACATGCACTTTCTATCATATCGACCGATACAGAAAACGATATTAGTTCTATTAGGATGTTTGGTCATTTAGGATTTTTGTGCTGAGATACTTTGATGAAATTTGCTACATTGGCGTTTTTTGGCTTAAAAACGGAAATGGTTGGGATTGAAATATCTTTCCGAACTCTTCCTTGTTTTGGTGAGTCGTTATAAGAGAAAATATTGTAATTTTTAGCATTTCGGGACAAAATGTGCTTGGTAATCCTACTTCAGCATTCTGAATTGGTATGAAAACTTAGGAATCGATGAATCCTTTGTCATACAGCAGGCAGTTCCTATGAAAAGTGAATTTTGATATGGTAAAAAGACTCAATTCTCTATTCTTACTGCTGAAAATTTGTTCATAATAATTAATCTAAAAAAAATAATTTTACCAAATTTGACGTACATAAGTCTATTTTTTGGATCTCAACTCATATAAGGAATTCTAAGGAATTTGGATCACATAAATTATTTATAGACCGGAAGAAACGGGAAAATAAGAAAAAAATTTGGTGTATCCTCTAATGTGAGGACTTTCATGAAAGTTGTACAGGTACATAAAAATAATGTTTTTGTTGTATTATTGATTTAGCGCAGTGGCGTAGCGAATCTAGCGACAATAGCAATCTTACATGATTTTATGTTTCATTTAAATTTTTTGACTAGAGAACTTTCGCGTATTAACTAGAAATACCCATTCTCGGAATCTAATAGTGAATTGTTTAGAAAGCAAGGCGTTTTAATTTCTAAAGCATTTTTTCGTTCAAACCATGTTCAACAATCTTGTATTTTTTGGCTTATATGGTTCGTTGACACATTGGTTAAATGTTACGATAAACTCAATGCCATGTCAATGACAATCTGATTATATCAACCAGAGCATGCTATCAATGTTCATCTCCATAAGAAAAGACAAATAGTCATAATTGCGGACTGCAGCATGCAATGAATTCATTGAGTATATTATATACGACCGTCCTGTACAGAGAACGATTGTGAAAAGTCAAAAGAACGATGGATTAATCTACGCCCAAAATTGAAAATTACTTACTGAATTTTTTGAGAGATAATATTATTGTAGTTTATGTGTAAGAAATTGTCGAACATGTGGTTGCAATTTCTTCACTGAAATCAAAGGATGCTGGAACAGTGGATACGTTACGAACAGCCATGATACGGTTTAGGCAAACAAGGCGAAAAGCGAACGAAATGTAGGTAGAAACGAATCGTACCTAGCACGTTCATATTCGGAGGTTGAAAGAAATGAACTGGAATGAACACAGATGTTACTACCTCTGGTTCCCTCCGCTGCGAATTATGATGATGAAACCCAGAAAATGAGTTGTCTTTTCTCTAAGCAATTCGTGTTTAACATATTATAGAAGATAGAAGAGTTGAAGAAGAATTGTTGGCATTGTATAATATTATGAACGTAATATTTTTCAACATTCCCTTAAAATGTCTCCATGAAAAAAAAAGAATTCTACAGTTAAGGCGGTGGTGTGCTCGTATACATAAGAACTTATGAGTATGTGTAGTGCGCACATTATTATACAAATTGAAGCTTGCTCACCGAGGTTGCCTGCTTCGTTCTTTTCCCCCGTTCTTCTTTGCTTAAAAGTCGTTTTGGCTCCAAAGAACTCCGCTCATAAAGGTTTTCTTGCATTAATATCATTTTTTGACTGTAGGAAACTCAATCTAACTCGTTCTAAGGCAAACAGTGTTACGTTAAGAAAACTTATGGAGTAATACCTAAGACTGGCGATGAAGCAGAAAGCAATTATTTGGTTTACCTCAAATTTCTCCGATAAGGGCCCCATAACTGAAAATTGTGATAGCAATTCATATGCAGGCTTTTGATTTCTCTAAAAATTGTAAGAAAATTGTAAAGTTTAATAATACGAGCACACATGTCTCCTACTGTTAAGCTTAAGCTTGTTTAACTTCTCGTCATATTTTAATCCACATCTCGGTTGTCATTGCACTAGAAAAAATCGCTATGACATTAGAGATTAATTGTTGCCATTTGTTAACACCAGCCAAGTTATCTCTAGACTTGTTTCCCTGTAAAGTAGGCGTCAGCAGCAGATTATCGATTTAATGTTTAGTGTTTGCTATTAGAGAATTTCAAGCATTCGTAAAATATTGCTCTTGCTAGCGGTTTAATAATTAATATTAAGTAGGATATTTATGCTTTGCGTTGTCAATTGATAAAGTATTGGTGACACTAATGGCTTATTGAGAAATTATTAGTTGTCGCTGCGATACGCTGGTTATTGCTTGTTGTTGATATCGAAAGTTGCGTAATGAGTGCATTTAGTTGCGTATGAGCGTACCTTCAGCTGTTTATCTTCCATAAGCATCACTTAACGCTGACATTTTCTATCGCAAAATACGTACACCCTTATCAGCCCACGTTGGCATTGAACAAAAAATTATTGGCATTAATAACTTAATAATTCCTAGCTGCGTTATCTTACTCGAAATTTCTCGTTAACCTTGCATGTTCAGTACTAATTGATTTTATTTCTGCATTAACATTACCACGTGTTGATCAATTATCCAAACTGACACATATATAATATGAAATCATTTAAGCATAATCTCCTTCAATAAGTTTTCACCATCTTGCCGCCAATATTCTGGCTTTATACACTTAAGTTGTGTATAAAAAACTGTGACTTGTGCATTCACAATAACTAGTTAACTTAACTAGTACCTTATTCAAGAAGTTCTTGATGCGAGTGCGTTTCATTGTTTTGAGCCAATTTTATTTATGTCTTATTAGCCGATTAAGGTGTGCACAACTTAATGTTTGGCCAGTGCAGAATCTCAAAGTATTTCTTTTGTCAATTTCTTTAAAATATACGGGCAATAGTACAGTGCTCCTGTTCCTCGAGTACCACCGAACAGTTCATTACCAGATCAAGATCGTCAATAGAGATTCGTAAAAAAAAAAAAAAATAAATACAAAGAACAAACTTATTTTATAGCCATATACTTCCGGACGACTTATTATTTTTTCGTAGTGAATACTTAGGTCCTTTGTGAAGTTATGGATGCATCCATATACCTCTAGTTAGGCTTTTTTCAGAACATCATTCTCTTTTTCTGCCTGCCTGTTATTTAAAAAAACACCTTAGCATTACGCATATATTTGTGCGTTCCGTTGTATTAGTTTGGGGAAAAAGAAATCCATTATTTTTTCGGTAGATGGCTGCACCGATAGATTTCTCGTAAAGTATCGATCAAACAATTTCAGATTTATGCTTGTTGGAAAGGTGACATTTCGCAGTAAAAATTCTTTTGCTGTTTTTTGTTTGGTGCATTCAGTTGTGAGTTATAGCGTGTTAAAAATGGAAGTGAACAAAGAGAAAATTCGGTACATTTTACAGTTTTTCTTTGACAAAGGCGAAAATGCAAGCCAAGCGGCTAAAATTGTATACTGTACCAGCCAATTGATACTGTAACAGCCAATTATGTGCAATTTTGGTTTCGTAGATTCCGTTCAGGAATTTTTGATGTTAAAGATGCACCTCGCACAGGTAGGCCGGTCGTCGATAATGTCGATAAAATCGGAGAAATGATCGAAGTTGACCGGCATGTTAGCAGTCGTCACATCGCCCAGGAGCTAAAAATCGACCATAAAACAGTTTTAAACCATTTACACAAAGCTGGATTCAAAAAGAAGCTCGATGTTTGGGTGCGACACCAATTAACAGAAAAAAACATGATGGATCGAATTTCCATCTGCGAAGCCTTGGCCAAACGGAATGGAATAGACCCATTTCTTGAACGGATGGTGACTGGAGATGAGAAATGGATCACATACGATAACCCTGTGCGAAAACGATCGTGGTCAAAGAGCGGTGAAGCACTTCAAACGGCCAGGAAGGTTTTGCTATGCATTTGGTGGGACTGGAAGGGGATTATTTATTATGAGTTGCTTCCATATGGCCAAACGCTAAATTCTGATCTCTACTGTCAACAACTGGACCGTTTGAAGATAGCGATTGACCAGAAACGGCCAGAATTGGCCAACAGGAGAGGTGTCGTGTTCCATCAGGACAACGCTAGGCCACACACATCTACAGTGACTCGCCAGAAACTTCGGGAGCTTGGTTGGGAAGTTTTAAAGCATCCGCTATACAGTCCGGACTTGGCACCAAGCGATTATCATCTCTTTCTTGCATTGCAAAATTTCTTTAATGATAAAAAATTGGAGTCTAGGGAGGATTGTGAAAATCGACTACTAGAGTTTTTTGCAAATAGAGACCAGGACTTCTATGAGAGAGGCATTTTGAAGTTACCTTTAAAATGGCAACAAATCGTACAACAAAACGGTGCATATTTGACCCAAATCGGACAATCCCAAGCATGTTAAATAAAGTCCTGAAGTTCATATAAAAATAATGAATTTATTTTTCCCCAAGCTAATATTTTACGCAAAGACCGCGAGAGTTTAACGCACGCAAGACTCTCATCATCATCAGTCATTTGTGCTTACGAGTGGATAGACCAGCAACTGGCAAGTCGATGATCGCCGTTTCGAATCTCAGTGCGGTAGACCATGCTTTACACGTAACTACATAATAAACTTGCATAGACTTATGCTCACCCTGAATACTTTAATGCCTATAATAGTGTACACTGTTCATTCGCTTTTCTGATTCATATTCTTCGATATATTATGTGATAGTTTTACCACTTGGACTTAAATTCACTTTGCCAATACATAAATCGTCTACTTTGAAACTGGAAGAAAAAACTTTAAGATTGGTGCTTACTATGACTGAATGTGCAATTGCAGCCAGAGACGAGTAAATAAATAGACAACAAGTTTATCCTTGACGATACGCACTTTATAGTGCGAAATCGTTTGTGCAATCCCTGAAGTGGATAGGTAATATATTAAAGCTGACTATAAATATTTCTACACACCGCCGGAAAGGACATCTGCTGTGGCAGGCCTGGCAAAGCAACAATGATTTCAATAACTCAGCAAGCAAAAGTTCGTCAAACGAACAAGACGGACAGAAAGGTTTCGACAATAGAATCCAAAAATGCTTACGGACTGCAACCATTTTATTAGTATAATTAAGCGAATCTCACAGTATATCTTAGCTTACTCATACAAATGACGAATAATAAAAAAAAGAAAACAAAATCATTATTCATATTTTTATACAGTCAGCGCATTTTTAAATGCTTTTACAATTTCTAAAAGCTCGGATTCTGAAAGAAAACGAACATGTGCACCCGATTTCGTTTATCCTTGATGAGTGTGGCTGTCAGACAAGGTATGGAAAGCTAAGATACCTAGTGGTTCTGTTACAAGAACATTGCAATTTTTTCCATTGTATCGACGTTCTTGTTTTATCAAATATGAACGCACGGCAGAAGCTTTGAGAGTAAAGGTAATAACATTAGGAAACCAGAGCATGTTCTTTTCCAAAACTTGTGAGACACTACTACACATTAGCAAATTCTTTCAGAAAAAGAAGAGCAATGTAAATGTCGAAAGTAAACGTTGATAGCAGGACGCAGTGCAGAGAAATGCCTCCCCATCATCTTCCTGCTGCAGATCCGTCATCTTAATGTGAGACTCTCCTTCAGCAAAACGTTGAATATCTTTTAAACTACAGCCTTACAGTGGAAGAGAATATTTATAAAAACTGGTCGCTCACGGTTAATGCTCTTATTTCTCGAAAGAAGCAAACGATAATCTCTTTTCTTCACTAATACCAATTCTTTTTTGTTTTTTTGCTTAACTAGAAAGTAAGCTGCAGAAGTTTATATTCGATTCGTAGCATTGAGACCGCTCTCGATTTAAATTGTCTAAATGCAAAATGTTGAGAATAGAAAATGTGTTTGAAGGTCGTTCATATCATGAAACCATTTTCTAAATCTCACGCTTTCACAAATTTTTATCAATCATTTTACTCATTTTATTATCAGCAATAATTTTTATTTTTATTTACGATAATGTGCCTATTTCGAGTATTTGAGAAAATATACAGCAACAACTTAGCAGAGTTAAGCTTTAAAGGCCTTGAAAAATTTTTTATACCTTTTACCGTCAACATTAAATAAACAAGCCTTACTTTTCCTCGTCTTTAAAAAATGACTCACACACTTCAAGGTTAACAAAATTTCCTGGACGCCGTGAAATTGTATGTCATGAACGTGTAGGTAATATTTTTGTTGCAATTGCATAGTTTGTAACTTTCTTTTCAACGATTCTACAGGCGTTGTACTAATCTACGTTAAGGTATTTTAATAATTCATCTATACTGGATATTTGTACTACTTATACGAATATTGAGTGCATAGAATTTGATTTTTTATTTATTTATTTATTTTTTTTTATTTTTGTAGTCTTTTTCTGAAGCATACATCTACTTATCGATTAAAAATGTGCAAACAGTGCCCACCAAAATACCTACCTGAAGCTAATGAACTTAAAGAGCCAGCTGTGCTACCGCCACCCTCATATGCATAGTTTCGTAAATCATCGAATGGCGGGGCATTTGGATCACCGTCTGCCCGCTTTTTATGCTCTTCAATAAACATGCCAACGTTTGGCTCTTGGCCGGGCATTAAAGTCATAACAGGGTCTAGGAGGGAAGAATAGAGTTGCAATAAAATAAATTTTAATTAAATTCGAGATCATTAAATCATAGTTTAAGTTGAATGCTTTTGCTGTGCATATAAAAAAGCTATAAAATATTTAATAATGCACTATATGTTGTGTAAATATACTTAAACATACATTGACCTGATATTTCATCGTACCTACTGTACTATACTTTTTAAACTATATACACTTATATATTTATATATTGTAGATTGTGTGTAAATAAAATAAAATATACATGTACTTACACATTATTGGCATTTTCATGGTTGCCAATTCGGGTGGCATTGGGCCACCGATGGGTATTTGTAATGGCGTTATATCGAATGCCGTCATATCGTCCTCACCGCCACCCTCGTCATCGTAGTTGATAATATTTTCGCGCACGTCATCATCTGGTCCGGGATATTTAATATGCGCCTCACGACGTCGATTATATACCACAAAGACTAGCACCAAAACTGTATTTCATTTATACACAACCGCACCATAAATAAAACATAATATGTGTTAAATAGAGGCAAGAAAGAGAGAAGAATAAGCATAAAACAATATTAGTATGGAAATTGCATGGTCTTAAAAATAAGTTTTCTTTTTTCTCTTTCAGATTACTATTTCAGCTTATCATTTATAAGCTAAAATAAGTGAATATGTATGTGTTTTTATTTACAAACTACTTGCGCTCCGTACTTTTGGGAAAGAATATTTATTACAAAAATGCATGCGAGTAAAAGAGTTAACCTATGATAGAATTTTATATGTTGCATTTATTGCATAATTTTTTTTTTTCGAGCGATTAAAAAAGTTTTTATTGTTCGATTATTAAAGGAAACCATCGAAAATTGGCAGTAATATTCTCCAAATCAATTAAAGCATATATTTCTTTGGTGAAACTTGCTTGAAGCCTTATAGAAGATAGAAATAAAGCATTTGAAGAATGCTTTGGCAATTATTTCAATGAATTACAAAAGCTTTTATGTTTTGCGTATAAAACCATTAATAACGTTTTAATTGTAGCCGTAGTCAACCACACTCGCTTTTCCATATACATGTGCTTGTATGTATATATGACTACAATTTCGTTTTTCTTTAAATCACAGTTTTCCGAGGAGCGACAAACAGCCGCACTGACATTGTTTACAGCAATGCAATCGTATAAATAAGTTTCAAAAGTTAAAAATTAATTAATGAATTTAAAAGTTGTGCGCTTGCCTGCTAAAAATGCCTTATTGGTGCAATGAATGCGAATATAGGAAATGATGCATTAAATTACAAAGTATCCAATTAGCGTTCCAATTAAAAAGGTGATATTTAATAAATAATGATGGCATCGAAACATCATTAAAGTATGTTCTCGTTTCCTTGTGTCAAACAACGCTTAAAAATGTTCTACAATTTGTACTAGAAATAGGCAATTATTTGAAGTTTCTATCTTAAGCTAAAAAATTTACCAACTCTTTTTGGAAGGCTTTGAAAATTATCAGGCAAAAAATTTTTATGTAAAAATTTTCATATTTAACGTAATAAATGATATAATTGTAACTCATAAAAAATGGTTAGTAACATCTTATAGAGGTGGAGCATAACTCAGGGCTGTTCTACAATAATAAATTATATTGTCTATTTTTTGGAGGTTATTAAAATTTCATTTAATATTAAGAAAAAAAAAAAATTATTTACTAATAGTTTTGTTTTTCTTTTTCATCAAAATTTATTCGTACTTACGTATCATGGTGGTGGTGCATAGTAATAAAGCAATAATAAAATCGCGTGATGGTGTCAATATACCCGACGCTAATAATTCCAATTCGCAATGCATACCCGTAAAACCCATCGGACAATGGCATTCGTATTTTTTGGGTGGATTGTAATCACGACAACGACCGCCATTGCGACAAGGAAATTGCAAGCATTCGTTGTCATTGACACATGTACTGCCAGAGATTTTGTAACCAGCAGGGCACCTAATACATAGCAATATAATAAATGTGTATATGTATTCGTAAAGTTATTACTTATTTGCACGCACTCAATTATCCGTGAAGTATGTGCAATTTTCTTTATCTATTTTTTTCATGTCGTTTCTTCCGATTTTGTTCGCTTTGAAGCGTCGAATTTCCAATTTAAGAATTGAGTTTATAAATTTGCAAACGAGCTTTATTTTTTCGTATGTTGCTATGTAGTATTGAATATTTCTTGTCAAAATACGAATTTAAATTTTAATAAAAGCAAAATCGATCTTGGTGTTCGTTTCTGGCCTTTAGATCTATAATATTTTGACGTAAATGTTGGTTGTAAACTGCTTTTAAATGTAAATTATTAATGATTTGCGATTTGAATGCACGAACGTTGAAGTATTGTGGAAAATGCTCGTTATAAGGTTTGCATTTTTCCGTAGTATCAATTAGCGCGGTATGTTCAGTATCACAAACTTTTAAAAATTTATTTATTTTTTTAAAATATTTTGCAAATTGTGTTTTTTGACCTTAATAGAATTATTAAAATAAAGTTTTAAGAAGTTTATTAGCGTTCAGGGATTTTTTAAAAAAACTATCAAATATTATCTTCATCCATTTTACATGTTTATACTTGAAAATTTTGTTGGACTGAGTAACATTGCAGCTAACTGTCCTTGAAACAAGTCTCACTTGGAATAGATGCGTGAAAGCCAAATATTAGTCAGGCGACGCAACTAACAGTAGATTAGGATAAGGGGAAAATGCAAAGTTTTCTTTTAGGAGTTCAGTTTCGTTTTAAAATCGAAACGCCTGCTACGCGTAACAACAGCCGATATTGAGAAGTATAGTGCAAGCATTGAACTCTAATGAATATTCTACCTTTTCAATTTTCCAAATATTTTTGTGCCAATGCTGCCACCGAATATGTATTTATAATTCCTTGACCTGATTGGAATTCAACTGCTTCGTGCTTGCTTGCTTTAGGTTCATTAGGGTGTTTTGCGACTAGAATTTCTTAAATTTCACTACGCCCTAGTTTAACATCAAACAGCCGGACTCAGTTCATATAAAAACAAAGCGTAGCACTACTTTGCAGAATACGTAGGGATAGATTGATCTTTTATTATACCGATCGATTCAGTCCAAACAGTCAAGCATTTATTATTGCATTGACCCTTATAATGGGTACATTTAGATGTTATAAACAGAATGACCATGTAACGTTGCAGGATTGCAAAAACCGATGGTTTTCTTTACAACACACAAACTTATTTGCAATGCTTCATTTTATTCGTCACTCGTTACAACAAGGTAAAACGAAGCCTTGATATTTGCATTCTATATCCGTCATATATTTGTAGTCACAATCTTTATTATTCTCTTGAAAGTTTTATTTATTAAAAATTCATTTTATTTCTAATTTTATTAGTTTAATATTGCGTTCGATGTATAGGGGGAAAACAGATGCCTATTGTGAGATTACATTTTTGAGACTGATAGGTGCGATGTCGACTTTTTATCCGCAGAATTTGTAGTTCTGCTTGGTTGGGAAACTTGCTTTTTAGATCCATGTGTTTTTGTGTTGCAAAATTTCTCTTCGATAAAAAATGGATTTGATCCATAAGCACTTTTAAAGATCATAGCTTTTGAAAAAATTGCTTTGATATTAAATTTTATGTCAGACAACATCACTTCACGCCGTCAGTTTTGTGAGATTAACAGCGGTCTTGGTTCGCTGACTATTTGAAACATAATTCAAGTTGATACACATGAATGAGAATCCAACTTGTCTTCCAGCGTGCGCAAATGTTAAAACACTTTATGCTCACCGACTCAGTTTCCAAAACTTTTGCATTTAATGCAAAATAATGACTTTGAGTTATCTACCATGTCAGTGCATAGCCTCACGTAGCAGCTGAAATGCTTGAATTTTTGAATACCTGAATAGGTGGTTTTTGTCTTGAATAATTTTGTTTTCGGCACTAAGGAGTCAGTTTTATTCTGATAATTCGAAGAAAATCGTTACGCAGACAATAATTTCGGGCGTCGAGCGAAACAAGTGATGCCGTATTTTGGAGATTGGTGGTTCATTATGAAAATGACGCTATGGACGTTTGTGCAGGCGTGGGTAAGAATTATATCATGATTTTGCGAAGGTAACCTCACCCCCCACATTTGTTACTTTGTCCGAATTTATCAAGTTTGGTGCACCTGAATCGTAAGAAAAATTCGTAGAAAAAGTAAAATTTTTCATTTGTGAAACTATTGAGAGCATGTAAGTGATCGCAACTCGTAACTCACATTCTACCCGAAAGTGGTGATAAACATTAACAATAATCTTTAAATGAAAAACCAAGCAACTGACCTTTAAAAAATCATATCCAAAATATTAAAATTACTGAAATATATTAATGCAATCTGTCACATACAAATTATGCTTCAGTGAGTAAATACCACTACTTGGAAGAATCACATTAGTTTACTCTCGCTTGGTAATATTAAGTCAATATGAATTTTGCCTTAATTTCGGTACCTACCTTGAGTCGCAAATTTCGTGACATATTTGCTGTATGAAAATTAGTCTTTTTTTTCAATATATCAGACGATGTTTAGAGTACACTAATATATAATACATATGCAGCAGGCCATTAGCTAGTTCGTTTAGAGCTACTAATATACGTATATATACTTTTCTCTATAATGAGATCTAAAAGAAGTAAAGTTTGGCCGCTAAACTAATTTAATGAAAAATGCTTAAAATGATTTGATAAATGAATTGGAAAATGCATTAATGTAATTACATTTTTATTGATTGTGATATAAATTAAAGAAAATAATTATGAAACTGATACATGCAAAATTTTGTTACACATATCCCTATATATGCGGATAAATCGCTATATATATGTATATATAAATAAATGTATAAAAAGCCAGTTAAAAAAGCCATAAAATATTGATATTTAAATGTGAAGTGAAACTTTTGACTAATAATTATGTTTACATTTATGAAATGAAAAATAAAGGTTTGTTAGATGATTCGTTGGATTCGTTTGATTTGATTTGTGACAAGCGATTTAATGCTCGTCATTAGTTATGCGGTTAACTTTTCAGGGGAAATTTGTTTGGATGACTTTGCCTCTTCGAACTCTTTGTTTAAAACCTATATATCTTTGGCTGTTAACTACGAGTATACTTGCAAGGTTCCATTGCAAGTTTTGTGCGAATGTGAGAATATTACCAACAGAAGAAGAAGATAAGCGAACTACCTTTCAGCACATATTTCACCCTTGACAATGAATCTATTATATTCTGTTCCTAATTCACAATACTAGGTGTAAAAGCCGTTGCTATAAATGCAGTATGAAGTGACGTTTCGATTTTCCATAAAAGCAGTGAAAAGCTATCGGCAAGACTTTTCTTTTCTTTGAAAGTTGCTTTGTAAATGAGCCGCTCGAAACTGTTTGCCTGCTTTCCTGCTTTTGAACAGCTGCAGTCACTGTTTACGGCAACTGACGTCAAACGCCACATATGTTGAAAACAAATATCGCAATAATATTGAAGTTTCAAATTTTTTTCATTGCAACTGAGTAGTTTTAGTCTTCATGGGCTGATAAAGGCAATAAAATTGAGTTGATATAAGCCAAACGTGGGGTTAGAACCTCAAGTAACTGCACGACTTTCTAATTTTTGCAATTTTGTATTATTCCAGCAACAAACGTAAGGTTTGCAAGTGAAAGAAGGACCGTCAAAAACACTTCAAGCCTAGTAGGCCGGTCATGCATTGATGGGCCCAAGCTGATCGAGAACATTAGTGTTCTACACGCATATTGAGGCACATTTTTAGGTATTACAAACTGGGTAACCATGTAAGTAAATTTTCATTTCTCAAGCACGGAACTTCAAAGTCATTATATTATCTTAGGATGACTTAAGAATCATTTTTTTTTCGGCATTCAAGATTTGTGTAGAGTGCAAAAAATGAATGGAGTTATTGAAGATAAATTTTGTCTGCTGTCTTCCCTCTCTTTGCTGTCATGGTAGCTTTTCCCTACAAGCAGTTAGATCAAATATTCTTACATTTAATAACGACGAGGTCGGAAATTGACGGTGTAGATAGTTGTGAAATTTATTGTGGAATTGAGGATATCGTGCAAATGAAATAATTCTATAATAGACATCAATCCAAACGTGAAATAAATGCTTAAAAACATTTGTACAGGAATACATGATATTATGTACGTATACGATGAACTTATAAATGAAATGAAATTCATTGTGCAGGAAAACTTTTTCGTTTCCTTTTCTTTTTTTTTGTATGGAATATAGAACATTTAGAATAAAATCATACTGTGAAAAAAATGAAAACGAAAATAGTTTACAGAAATGACGGATGGCGGGGTAAAATTGCTTTTCTTTTTAAAGGGCGCAAGTAATTGTGTGTTCTTTTTTTTGTGTGCGTTCTTTAACAGGAAACTTTTGCGAAAACATAAAATATGCATTAAAGAAAGAATGAAGAAACGAAAACGGTGAAAGAAAAAGAAAAAATGCTCACTTAGTATGATTAGCAAGCAAACTAGAATTGCTGCTAAAGCGCCCATGCTTAATTTTAATGTTTGTCCTTCTTGTACTAGTTCACAATTTTCACCCCAGTAGCCATCCGGACATATGCAACGGTATCGTAAACGTGGGTCTAAGTTGATGCAAGTGGCCCCATTTAAACAGGGCAAATCCAAGCATTCATTACGATCCACACAACCTTTCGCGTCGGGTGACATAACACGTCCATCGCCGCAACTTTAATATTAATTTTAGTTTGTTTTTTTTTTTTTGTCGTTGATATTGTGGTTGATATCATAGTTGTTGAAAAAAACAAAAAAAAAAAAAAAACAAAAAACAGATTAAAAGACCATTTTTGCAATATTATAAATTGATTAAAATAAAATTTTTTTTGGCTTTAAGGGAAAATTTTCCTCTTTTGTTTTCTATTTGCTTTATGCTTCAAAATGAATTAAAATTAAAGCTTATATGTGTAAAAGCTAATGAGTAAAAGAAAGAAATCGAAAAGTGTCATAATTCCAATTCTTGTTGAACATAGGCAAATTATATAAATTTGTGAAAACGTGTTTAAATTTTTGTCTCATTGGTTGTTGTGAAATTTGTTTATTAAGTCTTAGGCTTGTCTATGTGATACCATTGTTTTTTTATTTTTTTTTTTATTACTACAAATTAATTGTATTTGAATACGGCTTATAAAGCTTTTATAGGTCAGTCAGTGTTTTGATAAATCAATGATTGGAAAGCACAACAAATTATTATTTATATGTTGCGGGTGTTTGTGATTTATGTGATGTATTGAAAAACCTAAATGAATTAATGTCCCTTGTATATATGTAATCATGTTTGCGATATATTTACTAAATAATAGATTTCCTGTGGTTTTCTTTCATTATACAGCATCATTGTATTAGTTTTATGATAAACTGCATTCTGAATTTGGTTTGTTTTGCTTATCCCATCAAATGGGGCTTGGTGTCTGCATATGTTTATCTTAAAATTTAAGTCGATTATTTCGATTCCTTGAAACGTGATTAAATTTAGGGAGACATTATTATGTGCAGAAATAATTATATCTTAACTACCGAGTATCATTTAAATCCCTTTCTTTTTATCTAAGAAGACACCTGCCGGATCAGGGGTAAGAAACGTTGTTTTTAACAACTTTTCAACGTTCCCATCAGGGAGAGAAAATGTTAACATTTTTTTGTTGCAGCATAGGCATACATTTTTCTGAAAATGAATTAAAACATTATAGTCGAATCAGGCCGTCAAGAAAATACCCTACATCGCATCACCTACAAGAATGCTACATTTGTTTATATGACAAAATACCAAAAATTATATGTTCTGATGATATATTCTTGAACCACATCACACTTTGTTGCCATAGAAAGGCTTATCTTCTACTGGAACATTTTTATAGTGGGATTTGCAAGGATGGCCAGACATGATCCATATATAAATATACATGAATTTTATTAAAAAAGGGGTAAAAGTTACTCTTTGTTGCCATACAAAGGCTTTATTTTCGTAGCAAGAGTTATGTCGGAGGAATTCCAAACATATTAACTCAGCCGCTCCAAATTATTCACATCAATTTATTATTCTGAAACATTATTCTTCAGCGAGTTTTGTCGAGCGATTTCGAAAATGAAGAATTGAGAGACGTCGTAAAAAGGGTCCGACCCAATCCATTTTTAACGAGGTTTCTCGTAGGGCCAAAACAGTTCAGCGCGCGTCAAACTTCACCAAAGTAATTCAAAAATTGCGACGTGCTGGTTCGGCGGGCATTAGGCGAAGAAAGAGACAAGCCAACCTAAATCGATTGTAAAAATCGATCGGTTTAATAAATGGTGCATCTACCCTATGTCCTTGTGCCTGCTACATGTAGGCGCATAAAATTAATGTACCCATTACAAAAGCTGATATACGGTGTAATAAACAAATTTGCCAAAAAATTGAGTGACACCACCAGCCATATTGTTTTCTTTTCAGTTATGTTATTTGAATCCAAGACTGTTGGATGTGATAGCAAAGAAACGGTTATAGCAGAGCGAGATTTAAAAGCCGTTTACGTTTTTAAATTGAATAAAAGACAAGAAAATGTTGTAAATGTAATTAAATAACAAGTTACGACAGAACTTGGACATCAGAACGGAAGGTCTCCTTATTGGAACATTTTCATGCACAGATTGTTGCCGCAACTGTTGCGGAGAAGGCGTTAGTCCAGTGTACTGCCAAAGAGATCTTGCATTTGAGGAATGGAACTAAATTCTAATCCAACTATAACTCATCAGACTTGATATGTGGATTTAATCATGGGATAAGTTATATTAGATATCTGTATATTACCGCTGTTGTATGAAAAGCTTTTGTCAAAGATTTCTTGGAAAAAGTCTCGAAACCAGAAACGTGTGACCATCACAACAGTTGATGATGTTAACTTTTTTTTTTAAATATTTTTGCGTTATGCTAATGTCATGAAATGTCTGCTTGATATAGTCAAGCCTAATAAGTATTTCTATCAACATCACCTTTTATATCCCAATTGAAGCTCTAGTGGCAAGCTGTAAAGTCGGAAGTTGAACCATAGTTGTGGTTAAGCTGATGTACCTAGTGTTCGCAATATCGACAATGAGCAAGAAGTAGTTTTCCTTAAGTCAACGATTGTTTGACAAAAAAAAAATTATTTAAAATCAATTTTCTTATGTAAGAGCTCCGCTAATGCTTTCAGTTAAGCACAAGAAACTTGGACTTGAATTCAATATCGTACTTTGTAGTGAGTAAATATATTTCCCGAACGAAAAATAAATCTACACATACGTCACAATCGTCTTTGTTAGCCAACTGGATGCATAACATTGATTGTTGCTAAAGCTAAACTAAAATTCGCTTACCTGTACCATAAATTTTGCTAAGTCATACCTAAGAACGTCATGAGTGAGCAGGAAAGTGAATGTACATTCGCAGAGATGCTCGAAAATACCCGGCCTAATTAAAGTGTAGTATTGCGTCACCATTTTTTGCACCTGTCGTGGTGTTACTCTTAGATACTTTCGAAATTATTCCGAATGCAATTAAATGCAAATTTTATATAAAATATTGGGCCATTGAATTATTTGCACATCATATAAGCATGTTCATGTTCGCAGATGTTAAGAAGGAGGCTTTTAAGAGGCTATTGTTCTATATGAATTTTATTGATTGCAATACCAACTTCAGTTTACAATCGCTTCGCAAAGTATCATGAAGCTATAAACTTTTTATTACTTCTCCTTTTGTTTTACATATAGATTCGGGCACTCTCATCAGATATTAATTTTTATTTTTATTTAAACTTGCTTTTTAGTCTGTTGACTTTAAAGTGTTCGAAACAAGATTGTGTTTATTCAATAAATAAAATTTGAATTCCAATTAAGTTTCTTTTGAAATTTGAAAGAAATTAAGAGAACTTTTTTTGTATATTTGCAAATTTATAAAATCAATTAAATTTTCGTATCTGAATTAAACATAAAACAAAAAGAACTAAAATGAAAAAACCAAAGGCTTTAAGCTTAAGGTACAGGCGGTAATAAAATATAAGAAGAAAAATTTGTTTCTCGTATAAGACTCAGTGTATGCTTTCCGACGTGTGCAAATAAAGGGAATACTTACGTGCATTCGTATTCGTTCCATAAGTCAACACACTCGAATGGATCCGGGCAAATAACATTTGAGCAGGGTTTATTTGACGGGCAATTCTTTTCCAAATTTCGAGCCATCGTTGCTTGACCCCATTGTGTACCATTCATGGCAGGAGGTAATGGTAAATGTTTACCTTCGAGTCTACGAAACAAAAGAGAAGTATAACAATGTTATTATATGCGCACACACATGGGCAATAATTGCTTACAAACGACCGCCCAAAAAAAGAAAAAACAAAGCGAAAAATTGAAATGCTATGATATTCGCGCCATAAGCTTATGTACCTTATATCATCGAGGCAGCTTTTTTGATAGTCAGCGTACACTTCAAACGTACGAACTCCCGTATACTCGGCTTTGCCACCTGCGTAAACACCTTCTTGTTTATCCACCAATAGCCACTGATGACCAACAAATTCAAAGGTTTCGTTATAGCGCCGACCCTCGCCACCGTCAAGTTCTAGTGTGGCAGCTGAGCCATAACGATTAATACGTACCACGTGCCACTGACCATCATCTACGGCAACCGCATGAAGCCATAAATCCTTCTCTTCAGTACGCAGCGAATTTAAGTTATAACGAAAATGCAAGCGAGCATCTTTTATTTCTAATATACCATACTCCCGATTATGCTGGTCACTAACGCGGAACAACTCGCCGTGCTGTTCGCGAGTACGAAAACGCAATTGTATTTGCGTACTAAACCGATCCGGTTCAAAACTCAAAGCATATTTAACGTAGCTCTGCTGTTTGAATGTGGTAGGTATAGTGGGTATATTACAAGCCGGCCCGGTCCAGCCAGGTCGGCATTGACATCGCGCCTCGGACAAAGAACCTACACAGTTGCCATGCTCCCAGCAACGAGCGGTTTGTTCGGCTTGAGCGCAAACCTCTTCCGTCTGCGGACAACCGGCTCCGCTATTACGGGATAAGCCAGGATGAGCTAAATCGTACAGTTTTGAATTATGCACTAAGTTACGTATACAGCCATCAAAACCCTTAGCCATGGGAGTGTAATGCCAAAAATAGAGGGAAGGATCGAATTGTTCTCTATATAGCCCACCCACTTGTAAAGGAGCATTAACGTTCAGATATTCATTAAAAGGGGGTATTTGCCCTCGCGCCTGGCAGGACATATCATCAAATTCAGGCGGAGTGCCATCTTCCATTTCGCTTATTTCTGCCGAACGACAAAAATCTACAACCATGCGGACGTTCTCTGTATCCCAAAACAAATCAATTCGATGCCACTCTCCGTCATCCAAAGTTTTTTTAGTCTTTACACGCAGTTCCAAAGTACCCGAGCCGAAGTCTATTAAAAGCCTTGGGTAACCGCGTTCTAACTCCAAAGATACGAAATCAGCTATCAGCATTTCATCACGCTCTGGTGGTACGATAGGTCCATTATAAATTATCAGACCATCCGGTTTGCGGGTGATGAACTCCAAACTTAAATGCGAATTGTCGCACATTTCTAAAGGTGGATACCAGGCCCATCCGTTGCCGCGAAAACTGCGGGTGGTTTGCTGGCACCTAGGTCCCGTGTAGCCTACTGGACAAGAGCAATGGGGACCAAACCTCGTATCCATGCAACGACCACCATTATAACATGGTGTGTTGCGGCAGGATTCCGGTTTGGAGAAGTTTCTTGAGCCACAAGTGCATTCGGCTAAAGTATCCACTCTAACTCCCACCAAAGCAGTTTTGTTCGCATTCACCATGTATGGCAAAGAACTTATGTCCAAAGTGTTCGTACAAGAACCTTCACACATTTGATTCTCATATAAGCATTCGTCAATTCCTACCATGGTTATGTTAATGCCTACATCCTTTTCAATTTCCTCACGATTCATCAACACTATGCCATTCAAACGAACCGGCTTGTAATAGGGAGAGCCATGAGCCGAAAAACGTACATCAGTTAAAGGGGGATGCCGCCGTTTTAGTTGAACGCTGAATATGTCAACATTTTCACGGTCTGTATTTAAGAGATCGGCTAATTTATCACGAAAGCGATCCATTTTGGAACGGCTCAGCGACTGCGTACGATAATTCCAGACACGTATGAAATCTTCATCGGTAATACCTGACAAACGTACCGAACCCGAATTTATCACAGCCTCGTGAGGTATTTCTCTTACTGTTACGGTAACATTAGCTGGCACATCAGTTTGTGTGTGTTTTCGATCGTAGACTTTAAAACGTAAGTGATAGCGTCCCTCTCGGGTACCAGCACGCATAGTGATCATACCAGAATCTTCATCGAGTTTGAAACGGGGGTGTTCCTGAGATTCCCAATAGAATTTTTTATCAGGCAGATCCCAGTCATCTAAATCGTAGACATAAACCCTACCGATTTGTGTGTCCGGTGATTGGCCTTGATAATTGTAAGCGAAAATGTCTTTGGAGCCCGGCTGCATCTTATTATCATTGACATCACCAATAATTACGGTTAATGTACTCGTGCCAGTCATAGCAGGTGACCCATGATCCTTAATTACTATAGGAATCATATATTCTTTCTGCTGTTCTCTGTCAAACGAGCGAAGCGATGAAATTACAGCCATGCCATCCCCGTTTGCACCCTCTATTCAACATAATGAAAAAGAAAGAGAAAAATATAAGACAAAAGTAATGAAAAGTCGATTTTTGAGTTAAACTTTACGGCTGAATATTGTTCTGCAAGTTAATTATTTCACATTTCCCTTAAATTAGACTCTGCAGCCGGTCTGCCGCATGTCATGTGTTATATATGTGTGAGGAATCTATTGTATTGAGAAATCTGTTCTATTTGCAAATGGGAGATAGTAAAAATTTAAACTCCTATATTGGCATGTCAAAAATGTTTGGTTTCGAATGACAGAGCATTATGTGTGCGGTCGAAACATGGCGTTCTTTTATACAGGAACATATAAAGTCAGAAAAAAGTCAACTTTGAATAGGTCGTGGTCCTTTGAAGAGACTATAGTGCCCCCTTTTGAAAATGTTAATATTCACGACGTCCTTCCTAATATGTACTATGATGTTACAATTACAACTAAACTTGCGTGTGTACGTGTAGACAGTCACGGTTTATGCATAATTTTATTACCTTAAAGTAATAATAAACCGTTTGATAGAATGCGGCTCCACGTTTGATAGTTAGGTCATGTAATAAAAGAAGTTTGTTCGATGAAGTTTGAACCCATGAACCTTGAACGTAAGGAACTCGAGTGGTTTATTACGAATAAATAATAATATTAAGCATTATACGACAAAAAGAGCTGACTACAGCCGTTCAAATAAGCCTATGCTCCGAACTCTGTCTACATTAGAGAATGTCTAAACGTCATTGCGTATAGTGTTGGACTCAGGCGTACACTACGCACAATTGGAGCTGCAAGAATGTAAATTTTTATGTTCAGTGTTGATGAATGTTTGAAAGTGTACAGAAAAACGAATTAATGGTCGCCCTTTCTGGAGATCCGGACGGGGATTTCTTACCCTCTATTGGCAGACTCAAACGTCATTGCAAACGATGGTTCAATTATTTACAATCTATAAAACGCAAAAACTCAGCTATTTTATTAAAATTTCCTTATTTCCTTCAACAGCTTTAAATTTTGCCTTTCAGAACGTAATCCTAAACTACTGCTCTTCATAAATATAACCCAATATTAGAAAGTTATATCTTACCAAACGTTCAGCTGTGTGTGTTCCCTTTATAGAAACCCTAACTCCTATGGCATAGTATAGCCTCGTATTGCTTACAATAGATTAGATTCCTTCGCATAATTCTTACTGATACGTCCACTCCATGGACTAGTCCCTAGTCCCTGGAGTCCCAGAGGGACTAGGAAATGGCCGTGCCCATATCCTACTACTTTCCCTTTCTGTACAATTGGCGTTGCCACTTAGAAAGATGATCATCTTTCAAGTACATCAGCTGCATGATTTCGAAAATGATAAGCATGGCAATGGTGAAAAGTTTCTTTTTCCTGACGAATTGTATACGAACTTACCCTACTCTAAGTAAGTAAAATAAATTAAAACTATGTGAAACAATTTTGCCCTTCACAACTTCTCAAATTAGGCGGAGTCGAACACGGATTTCTTTTTTTTTTTGATTGTTTTGTAGACCGTCTTCAAGAACTGCTCTACAAGGAAAAGAGGCGTAAAGCGCTATCATAAGTAATACAAAAGTATCGACAATATCTTAGTAGCGAGTGTTGCAGAATTACCGCTTAATATTAAAGAAAGCAGCCGTTCACGATAGGCGAAAACCCATTAGGGCATTTTTGTCAAAATTTCAAGACATGCTTGAAAAGACAAAGAGAAGGCCTTAACATTAGCTGTTCTTCTGTAATTTGTGATTATCTCCGAGTGAAGTCCAGTTACTAGAATATACGCATATAAGTTTAATGGGATTATGTAAATAACTGAACCGATAACGAAATATTTTGTCTCGTAGTAATAGGCAAAGCAATACTTTTACAGTTTTATGTCCAAGGCTTTTAATCAGCCAAAATGGTTCTTTACGGTGCTTCCCTTATTAGATGAAAAGAGAGTATATAAGTCGAGAGTGTTCTTTCAATTTCAAAAAATATGCGATATTCTCTGCTAAGCCATCTATTATTAGTAATTTTTTACAAGACATGTTTTGTTAGTTTTTACCCCCAAGCGTATGCTGTTTCGAGAACATATTAGTGAATTTGTATACAGTAAAAAATAGTAGAAATAGAGATACTAAACATAGCTTCCGTGCGGAAATTACGAGATATGTTTTACCCTATACGACACATTGGGTTATTCTACGATATTTCAATCGACCTTGTCAGAAAGCCATAATTATTTATCCTTTAGCTAACATATATATGCAAATTTTAATTTTTTAGATGGATTGTTACATTTTGCGAACATTTTAAATTGAAATATTTAGCTTAAAAAGGAAGCCCTAGAAAGTGTGAAATGAATCTTGTGTCGTCTTTTTTTTTTTTTTAATTCACATAATATTGTTTCAGCAGGCTTTCGCTAACACCATTACCGCAACTGAATCAACCTAACCGAATTGCGATAGTAGATACTGCAAAATAACTTTCAGCTCACTCCCATTCATAAAAAAAAAAAAACAAAATAAAAAAGCCAAAAACACTACCCATGCATGGCTACGTTAGGATAGGGGGCATGAATGAAAAGTTCGATGTGTTTCGAATACAAAGGGTGCCCGTAATTAAATTGAAAATTTTCGTGCACAATTTTACAATTTATAGTAACTTGCTTTCGGATATAAGCAAACAATATTGGACGAAATGTTAACATGGAAAAGGATGCGAAACTTTTCTTCTCTCATGTCGTTTCCATTTTTTCTAATACAATTTTATGTTTTGTTCCATCAGTAAATACCACAAACTAACCCTATAACTTATTGCTAGCTGCACAGTGATGAGTCCATCTACGAAAATTTCGTTATGTTTATTCGAACTTTACGTTTCCGACATACGTTCGTTTTCCATACCTCTACCAAAGAACCATGTTATTGTAATTGAATTTTAATATCCAAAGTTTTATATGCAAAAATGCCAAAGCATATCAACATTGTAACGGTATCTAGTTCTCTTTTACATAATCCTAACAAAAGAAGTAAGGAAAAAATGTTTTATCGAGAAAAGTCAATAACACTGCCATCCGCTTTGTAAGCCCCGACATTAAAAAAAGTGCATGACACTACCACCGAGAATTTGTCATTTAGCACTGTAGCCTAAAACAAATTTCAATTGTATTGATGATGGCTTGTAGTGTCCTTGAGCTATTATTCAATAATTTGAAAAAACAATTTTTTACTGAAGGAGAAACATTCTTTGATTTATCGCAGTAACCTCCCAAACAACTGGCACTTATTTTGTCAGTTTTACATGAAACTTGAGTTTTTACTTCTACTTACTTTGGTCCTGTTCCACCTTAAACGAAGCGCGTATTATGTCATCGGCGCTGGGATCCAGGCGAAATTGAAACGGGGGTCCGTTACTTTTCGAACGATCGTCATCATCAGTAGCTAAGATTTCTACTACTTTCCGAGGCGGCACATGTTCTGGCAATACTGGTCGATAATCTTTCAAAAACTTCGGAGCATTATCGTTGATATCCTGCACAATAACTGTTAGAGTAGCTGTAGCCGTTTTTGGCGGAGAACCATCATCTATAGCCAGGATTTTAACTTGATGTCTTGGCACTACTTCGCGATCCAAAGATCGTTGTATCGTTACCGAGCCGTTTTGATTAATAGCGAACTGTCGTTGCCTATCCGAAGAACGATCTATTGAATATGAAACTTTTGATCGGCCACCCTGATCAGGATCCGTGGCTTTGAACTTTTCTAATTCAGTACCCACTTTAGTGTCTTCGAACACGGAAACTTCAACATTTGCTCGTTCGAAATGTGGCTTATTATCATTAATATCCCTGAGTTTAACGACTACCCAAGCAGCACCATAGCCGCTATTGTCGATAACTTTGTACTGAAATTTATTTGTTTCGTCTTCATCGTGTACGGTTACAGTTAATATAGGCATTTCAGGAAGAGCGGTGCCATCCGTTTCATCCACTTCGGTAAACCATTCATCTTTGGTAAATTGCGGCGGCATATCGTTTATGTCTTTAACGCGTATAGAAGCCGTCCCTGTCCCTTTTAACCCCCCACCATCCATCGCCACCACTTGTATAGAATAGTCTGGGGTTCGTTCACGATCCAGACAACAGACTGCCGTTTTGATAACACCCGTGTCAGGCTCTATTTCAAATATTGGCGAACCGGTTTCTTCTTCAATAACATTCTTCTCTATCGAGTACACCAACTTGGCGTTAGAGCCTTCGTTAGGATCGTCATAGTCTACAGCGGTCATAGTCATAACGACCATGCCTGCTGTACCATTTTCGGTAACGTTACCAAAGTAAACACCCTGCGGAAATATGGGGGCATTATCATTGATATCCTTAAGATTAACCTGTACATCGGCATAGCCGACTAAGCCCTCGCCGCCTTCATCTTGCGCAAAAACAGTAAAACGCCACTGTGGACGTCCGTTTGGTTGATCACGATCTAAAGGCTAACAAAGAAACAAAAAATAATTGCAATCATTGACGAGTTCTTGACGAAAAAAAAAAAATGCAATAAAATTTTACGAACAATACCAATATTTAACTTTAATTACTTTTCAACTGGCATACGTTATTTAAAACCTGAAACTATGGCTGTGTTGTGAGTTAAAATAAATGACTTTTACTACAATTAAACCAACAAGTAATCGAATGAATTTCGTATGACTGACTAGTTGGCTGGCTTTCATTAATATTATAAGAAAACGTTTTAAAAAAAAACTCTGATAAATAACAATATTGTGTGAGGAAAGAGCTTCGATGCATGTTGAGTGTGCATTCATAATAATCTGATTACGTAGTGTAAGGCTCTTACAAGCCTTAAGGTATGTAATAATAACAATAACATACCAACAAACATATACGCTATAATCATCTGTGTGTGCGTTTAACCGCACACTTCAATGCTTTAAATTATTTAATATGAAAACCAATTTGCTGTTTTCTTTTTTTTTTTTTTTTGATTTGTTTTTTATTCTTCCCGAAGGCCGCATACATTTGCATAATAACCTTAATTACATTGACATGCGATTGTTGAGCAATACATTAAACATGGCATTTAATTTATGAAATTTTTCCATTTTTTTTTTTTGCAAAGAACGTTTAAGAAATAAAGATTATTCTTGATAAACGAAAGAGAATATTTAAAGTTAATTTTTCCTGATAAGGGAATTTCATTTGACCTGTAAGGTATACAGTCAAGGAATTCCCGATTTTAGCAATAAAAAGACACTATCACATTGAAAAACGAAGATAAACTCTCTTGTCCCATATTAAAGTCGCTCTTACGTTAATTTTAATTACCCGGCAATGTTTTCATTTCGCTGATAAAGGAGTTGCTCATAATATACTGCACGCAGTTAATACTTATAAATCGATGTGTCAAAGATATACGGTTTTGCTGCCCACATTGACATACACTACAGGTTTTTGCGCTTTCGATATCTTGTCTTCTCTATTTTTGAGCACCCGTTCCCGATTCAGAAAGAATTCGCTCCTTTGAATTAAACGGAAAAACATCAATTCCTGCGTTTGAAATTTTTGACATGGAACTGAACTTTAGCGTGATAACTTATCTTGCTGTGTAAACTTTTAATATGACACTTTCGTACGAAGAATTCGACAAATGGTTACAATGCCTATTGTGTGTTGTGTCATAGAACTGCCGAAAAGGACTTATACATGGAATTGCGTAAAGACATCCAAAACGAACCTACCAGAAACGATACAGAATGCTTTTGGGCAGATGTCAACCTCTGCAAATCTGAAATCGGAATTTAGCCATAGATGTCCCTAGCTGTCAGTGTAGCTATTGTCAAATCGCGTCATTGCCATCATTTTCTCATCCAACAATACAAATTCCCTACAACGGCCAGCTCGAAAGATAGAAATGAAAGGCTCTCTGACATAGTATCGTTATTGGTGTTGAAAATCGGGTCTATTTCGAGGATTTCAAGTGCAAAAATCTAAGAGCAGTTGCACTCATGCCATTTACATCCACCGCCGGTCAGAATCGCTATAGCAAGACGATGAGACGATGTTTGGTGAGACTGGAATGTGAGACCTACTTAAATCTCGTGAAACTGTTATTAGCAAACGATAGCAGCAGTTAACTGATTTCGAAGGGCACTCTTCTCCATGTCATCTATCGATCCGTCCATCCATCTATCCGCAATGCAAAATCGATTCGCAAAACATTGACGCAGTTACCATTTCTTAGTCTGCACGGCTTACTCACCAAGCCCTAATCCTGCTCTCAGCGACAGGTAGTTGTCGTAGTTATTAAACAACGATTTGGTTCGTAGGAAGGTGTGAAAAAATGACTGTATGAGTGGAACCCGATGTAAGGGGAAAATTATTGAAGACGTGGCTTATATATACTGTTGCAAAGGGGACGAAAGAGTATAGCTACCATTATATAAACGTGTAGTTTCTGTGCAAAAATTCCGGTTTCATATTTACCTACCTATGTAAATGTCCAGAAAGTTCAGATGCAAAACTTTATGAAGTTAGAGTCTCTTCCTAAAAAACTATGTTCGTTCTCAAGCTGTACCTTTTCTTCAAAATCACGTGCCGTAAATAGTTCAACACTGCTTAAGTCTGAAAATAGCAGACAATTGCACAATGTTCGAACGAAATAAGTCACGGGCAAATAAACAGGGCGCCTGGTAAGTGAGATGCGTCGCTTTTATTTTGTAAAATTGACCTCCCTCAGTAGAGGACAACGAACAGGGGAGCTTTTTATAAGTAAGGCACTGACCAGAATACCCTGAAGGGATTGACACGGTGTGATAACTTCGTGAAAGTATATTTTCTCAAAACTTAAACCACTTCATCGTGTTCCTTAAATGCTCTGAGTTATTCGTATAAATTTCTTTAACACATTCGAATATTCTTCGCCTACAATATTTCATTGAAAATAAAAAATTGGAGGAAATTATGTTATTGGATAATTTAGTTCGCGAGAAAATTGAAAAATCCTTAACTAACAGCTTTGGAAGTTGGCATCGTTCAATTGTCCGCACCGCATCTTCGATTAGTTCAATTACAATAGAATCTCCAAAAAATATTTAAAATTTATTAAACTACTCCCGATGGTTTTTTACCAAAAATTACATTTATAGTGAAACTAATTTTCCATAGTTTGAACATATATTTAGCAAAAAAAAAACAAAAGCACCAGAAAGCGCTAAATATGAAAGGACTCGCTCTTTGTGAAATACAATTTTTTTTATTTTAAAATTTTGCGTATAAATGGGTTGAATATGCCTTGACATACATATATATATGTATATATAAATGTGTGTATATATATAAAAACCATATGCTTCATGCTAATTTCGTGAGTAAAATATAAATGTTGTTACAAAAACGCCATTATTACTAAAAATGCTTGCACAAGAATATATATACATATTTTTGCGAAGCAGCGCGCTTTATAAGCTGGCACATATATTACACAGACCCATTAAAATGGCTTGGATGTTAACACAAAGCTGTTGGTACCCCCCGACTACTCATCCAAAAAGTTGATAGCGGAACAAACATCCGATACGTTTAAGACGAAAATTAAATAAAATTTCTATCGCACTCAAAAGAGGCGCATTCTAGGGTACAATAAATTTCCTATGAAAACTGTGAAATGTGGCGCAATATAGCCGCATACATATATACGTGCTAAGAATGACAGCAATAGTTGTGTGTTTATTTTTCATATATAAACGAGTATTTTTACATAGGGGCATGTGCTCGAAATGTTTTTAACAAAGCGACCCACTGACTGCTTCTTACGTAACACTAAACAGATTCACATTTATCGTACATGCGTTGCACGTTGTTGTCGGTCCTGCTTCCACCGAATCTTTAGACAATGAAAATATTATTAGATTTTATTTTGTTTGGTGGATAACCCAACAAAATATGTTATATTCGAATACAGGACAGCTTCCACTTTTTGGTTATCATACCGTTTATGAAATAAAAGACTTAATAGCTAACTCTTTCAAACCATTATGTCATGTGTTTCTGGTAAAAAAAATAAAATAATTTCAAAATTCTCTTTGAAAAGTTTATTAGTCAAAAGTCGTTTAAGAAATTTCACTATACGTTAATAACAAACGTGTAAACAAACAAAGATCTAAAAATATGAACCTTGCGGGATGCGGGAGATACAGCCCAGAATGCATTGCGATTCGATTAAATATTTTTTGCATAACATTTTTGATGCGTTTGCTTTATAAGAAAATTGAGAAAGTTTTATAATAACTTTAAAGAATATTTGCCGAAAATTTACGCAAGTTTTGAATTTGCCGCCATTTGTGCGGTAAAGTGTTGGCAATTCAAAAAAAAAAAAAAACACTTTCACAGCTGACAGTTTAGAGTTAGTGAAAATGGGGTATTACACGAGAGAGCAACGCGCCTTCGGTGATGAAAAATATTTTAAATAAAATGAAAGTTTGCTCATACATTTTCAAAAATTGGAAAATGGGGTTGGTCAAGCAATGATTGTTACTGGTGCTGGATATCGCGCTGTGATAGCCTTGTTCCTTCTGCCCAAATTGGATGATATTGATGTGGACAACATGTGTTGACACAATGACAAGACGGTGCCAAATGCCATACATCCTGTGAAATAATCCAATTACTTCATGAGATGCTCCTTGATAGTGTCCTCCCAAGTTTCGGTGATCAGAATTTCAATAAAACAGCCAGCAAAGCCGTGGACGCCATTTCTCGATGTGCTATTGCACACGCAACTCTATCGTATACACATTTTAATTCGATTAAAAAATTGCAAGTAAAAAAAACTCTGTTTTCTATTTAATCCAAATCTTGCGTATATTTTAGGACACCATATATGAATCTTACTTACTTTGAAGAGTACACTTCGTAAGCATATCACTATAGATAGGAAAAAGGCATCTTAAGCGATTAGAATTCAAAATGCAAAACATTCTTGCGGACAGAGAAAATACTATCCTCCTTTTTAAAAAATGATGTACCTTTAGACCCCAAGCATATGAAAATAAAAGTTATGTTCGGTAGCGAAAGGAATAGGACTTATGCTCCTAAGTAGGGGAACTTCCTCCAATATAAATACTAGCGGTTTTCAGATCAAATTTGTACCAAAGAAAAGCTTTTGTTACATGAAATGTTGAATTTTATTCCATAACATTCAAAGTAGGTCTTCAAAGGGAGAGGAAATATCCTTCAAAGTTTTTCCAAAATTCACTAATATCTTAGGACACTAATGTATCACTAATATTTTAGGACAAACTAAACAAAATACGTCTTTAAATATTGCTTCGGAAATCGTTTTAAAATTTGCTGTCGTTTCGAGGAAGCCATTTTTTATTTTCTCGGGACTTTACAAATATTAATCATGAAACTGCGAAATTTGTCAATATAGAATAAGAATATACAGGATAAGCGCACATACATAACGCCTTGTGCGCGGTAAAGATAAATGTTGCTAGAATTTTACATCAATATGCACTGCATACCCATAAAGCATTTTCGGACGTTTGGTCAAGCAAAGGTCTCTTCCATCAACTTTTCATTTTTACATTTACGACGAGTGCAATTGCTACGCGTAATCAAGAATAGATAGGATTTGCAGCGGAATTCTAAAAGGAGTCTTAACGATATAAAGTGTCTGCAGCTGTCCTCAAGTTTCCTGTACTATAGCCGTCAAATAAGAGGCGATCAAAATATGTACGTAGTGAAATGTTCTGGATCAAATTATTGCGATTTGAAGTAAATTTACACGCATGTAAGTAAGTATGACTTTACATATAAAATATGTGCATATGAGCTCTTTATTTCAAAACTAATATAAGTCGTTAGGCTTCAAATCGTTATATTCAAAGATTTCCCTTTAATACGTAACATGTTAATGCATCTGAGGGGATTTTAGATACTTCGAAAATAATCGGTTCATATAAAAATGATATTAATTTTATTTTTATTTACTTCTCTCTCTCTCTCTCTCTCTCTCTCTCTCTCTCTCTTTCTCTCTCTCAAACAACTGCTGCAAGGAATTATTATAATAAAATATATTTTTTGTATATGACTCACCTTTAGAACAAAAATTTCTCCCGTAGTACGATTTATATCAAATTTACTATTGGCTGGATTATCGGGATCAATTCCTTGCCCAGTTAAAAAATAAACAATATTTTGCGGACGATCCTTATCACCATCGGTGGCGGTAACCTGATTTATGCACACCATACAATAAAGCAAAGAAAGAATATTATCAAATTAGTACGCAAGAAAAAAAAGCTAAAGTAAGCCAATTAAAATGAGAAACCTTTTACTCGAATAAATGGATTTATTGACATGCACTAATTAAAACTACATTGTAAATAAAGATTTGCATTTAACAAATCTTTCTTGGTTAATGTTGTTCGTAAGCATTACAAAATATAATAATCAACGACGTAACAAGCAAGCAAGTAAATCAACAGAGACATTAAAATGTTGGTGTATTTGGATAAACAATGTACTTGAAATAAAAAATATGATTTCTACGTATAAGAACCGTTATAAAGGAGACACATTCTGTAAACAACTAAAAAGTTTTAATAAACTTATGAAGAAATAGTGAACACTTTAAAAAAAAATAACTCAAACGAGAAAGTTAAATAGATTGAAATGAAGAGTAACTCAAACCCTACTCTTGCGCGACTTTTCCATATCCAACAGTATGATGCCAAGCTTGAAAAGCAGGGTACTTCATCCTCGACGTGAATTTTAAAAAGTTCGTGAAAACCTAAGATAAGTATGCCTTAATAACACCATAATACATCGGTACGGAAGCAGAATAGACGTTATTACATGTTTTAAAATTGCCGATGTAGGACGCCTCTTTTAATGTGCATTACGTGAATTATTTATATCCGTACATGTGGTTCGTTTGGTAAAGTGATGTATATGAACAAAATTTTGCCATACAAAAAAAAAAAAAAAAAAAATAAGGGATCCGCCAAAAAGTGCTGTAGCGCCATCCAACTTTGCTCTTAGGATTCCAATACAATTCACAATTGTCTAATCTTCTGCCTTGGTTTTATACTATTATATTTTTATTGGAATAATCAATATTTCATCATTAATCTTCCTTCTTATTTTCGTTGCTATGATTTCTTAATCCGTGAAAGGGGAGCAGGATTGTACTAGAGTTGACGTTCTTTTGCGGCAACCCTGTACTACCATCAGAGATCTCATAAGGCGCACGCATTTTTGATCAATTTAAAGTTTACTCATATCCATCTGCCTTTGAATCGTTTTTTCTTAAAAACTTTACGGAGAAAGATTTGGAGATAGGAAACTGAAATTTGTTATATTTATTTTTAGTCAATGACCGTTGATGGTATTTCTTTAACATGGCCACTCTCGCCTATTCGTGTAATGCAGTGACGTTTGGAAGGAAGTGGGGAAATTGAAATGAATGGAGAACTGTTCGTGTCCTCAGCCTAATAAGCATGTGTCAACGTCATGCCTTTACCGACTGAGCACTAACTATATCTACGATCAAAGTAAACTCTGTCACACTGATATACGAACTCCGCAGCACTGACTTGGTGGTCGCGATTCTTACCATGCGGAAAAAATTTGTAACGCATATAAAACCACGCCTACAAAAGAAAAAGCTGGAATTTACTATACACATAAAACGTTTATCTGATGCAACTTGGGATAGATCAACTTACAAACACACCTAAAAGATGTGCTATAACACGTCCATAGATATTTTTCATTTTTTAAAGAATTCGCTAGCATACACGTACAATTAAAATATATAGCAACGCCGAGAACTAGTGCAGAGTGGACTATGGCCCATCATCAAATATGCTAGACTAGTTCGTTTAGTATAGTTATTCTTAAGCACACTTTCGAAAAAATTGTTCGATCCGAACCGTTTTCAATAAGTCGATCCCTAGGCCAAAAAACATCAATGTGCCAAACGTCTGCAAAAAGCCTTGAAACTGCGACCTCTATGTTAAGCGCAAGACCGCGTGGATAAACATCAGACGGACAGACGGACAGACGAATGAGCGAACGCACAGGCTTACATCAATTCAGAAAAAGGTTCTATATTGATCGGTAAAGTAAACGGGAGATTTATTTCAAGTTTTTCTGGGGATTGTGCACGTCCACATATGGACCACAACTGGTATGGGGTATAAAAATCTTTAGCACTTTGCAGCATTTTGAAATATTGAAAAAAGGGAATACTTAATATTCGATCATTACGCGCTGCCTCTCTTGTTTGCAACACTTAGAAGGACCTAAGAAGAACCACCGCTGTATATCTTCGTTCGAAAAATAACCTTTTATTTTCAAAAAAAAAAACTTTATATCAGTATTTTATGATTAGGATTAGTCCAAGGCAATAAGCCGTGAAATAAATTCGCTGTGGTAAATTAGGAATAACTTAGCTACTTTTTCGGTATTTTGCTTTATAACAATACTGACGAAAACCAGTAAATAGGTGAACATTAATAAATACTATGAAAAAAAAATCACGTACGGTGGACCAGTTTTGAACCCTTCTACATGTAACACTTTGCTAAGAAATAATTTTTTTTTTTCTCCATCACTGTGTAAGATTTAAAATTTTTTTATATTTTCAATTTTAAATTGCATCAAGCGACGTCCTACAGAGTCCGTAATCGTCGGCGTTGCCGATTACAACCATTTACCTTGCTTTCTGTTGTACAATTTTTTTTTTTCAATCTTTTTCACGGTCTTTACTCATATTCGGAATGGTATTGATGCAGTTTATGCGTTCGTACGGAGATTTTGGTAACTTGGGAAAATAATTCAAACTAGTGCTCGAATTTCCGACCAAACACTCCTCGAATATACAAAAATTTTCTTTTTCTTTAACAAGCTGAGTAAGTGAATTGTTGGGTATGGCATTTAGAATAATTTTTAAAACATAATATTTATTCCATTTCATATTTACGAACATTAGTGCACATATTTGTGTGCAGCAGTAAATTCAATACCTCTGACAAAGATCGCGGAACAACTTTATCTACTAAGTAGATGAATTTAAAATTTTGACAAACTTTCCATTAGTACGCTTGTAATAACTACGATAAATAAATGGAGAATAATCTAAAGGGAAAGCGGCTTCAGAGGCGCTACAGTGCTATGTAAGTCCATCTGATCGTCTGTGTCATGTATGTGGTAAACATTCTCCTTTTGCAAAAATAAATAGATCGTGTTCAAATTTGGCAAAAACTTTGACCAAAACCGTAAAAGGGTACAGGGCAACATCGCTTCGAAAGCTGAGAACTTCTTTCTTTTATCTACGATAAAAATTTCCAGATACTTTGTAAAATCAATGCTACAGTACTTGTAAACCCTATGGCCTACGCCAACCAAATACAATAGATTATCGAAACTCTCTTTTTTTTTGCGTCTCACTGCCAGAGGTAAGTGACATGTGCCATACACCCTAAGGCGAATTAAATTCTACATATTTTTTTTCTTTTGCATTACACCCATTATCTGCTTATTATTTATTAATTTGTTTTCCATGAAATTCATTTTAAATTATTGTTATTATTATTATTAAATGCAAAAATTTATTTTCTTCAAGTCCAGATTGATAATTAATGATGATATTTATTTTTAATAAACTTAAAACAATATCCGACCTGCATTATGGTGAACGGCGCAGATATTTCTTCATCCAGTGAACGCTCGTATAGTGTTTGCGGAAAAATTGGCGGCAAATCATTAACGTCACGCACGTTAATAATAATCGTCGTGAAATTTTCGTTTAAACTATCGGAGGCAACTAATTTTAATTCATACTTCGTTATATGGCGTTTTTGTTTGTATTTGTTTTTTGTTTTTTTTTTTGTTTTAATTCAATGGAAGAACACATGAGAAACGAAATGAAAAAAAAAAAACGAAAATTAAACAAAAAACAAATTAAATTAAATTTAATATATAATTAAAGAAAAGAAATACTATAGGAATAATCGATAACGATACTTTCAAATGTGAATGAATGAATGACTTAAACAACTTAAGTAACCATGAAATTCGTATACCCATCATATGAAGCGATAAACAGAACCTTGCAAATGCATAACAGAATTGATCTGGGCAAGTGCACTTATGGATTCTCAACTTTTTCAATTTGTTTTTACGATCAACTAATTTGGTCCAAAACTCTTGAATCTTGTACTTATCAACGAAAGCGTAATGATTAATATCTAATAGAACTATCTAGAAAAATATCGAAATCTAAGAAAGTAATTTCTTAATATAATGATCTTTTCTATATTTAATAATCATTCCACTACTTTATTATAAATACTCTTCGGTCATCCAGTGTGTTGCACATTGGAGGAATTAAAACGTTATTTGTGTTGGCATAGATCGATAGATGATTTCATAGGTCTTGTAGCAGTTATATAGTTAGACGTTATATTGCCACACAGATAAGAGATTTATTATAAATACATTGTATTATACAACTCGTCATTGCTGCCCCTTATATAAGGTACAAGTAACGGAGAGTGCAAAGTACGTATATTATATGCTGTGCTACTCTATCGATTCGTAATGTATTTTTTAAGGGTCATTGCTTCTCTATTCTTTTCGGTAGGTGTAGCATGACGTGCTTAGGCTTACATTAACATACTCGCTAAAAAAGAAACAAGTGATGGGTATCGATGCATTCGTCGTAAGCCGAACATTATTACTTCATAATATTTACGACATATTCTTGCGTACAACAACACTTTTAACAAATTTTTGGGCTATGATTTGCCCAAATATGAAGAGCGTTGCAAAATATCTTTCCGAATCGTTCTCTTTATACAAATTATAACATGTTTATGTTTATACAGTGATTCTAAAATATTATTAAATGTACACACGAACTATTTATATATATAAATATATATAAATAACTTTACACTTTACTATCTTTTTAAAAATAATTCTTATTAATAAACAAACGGATGGTACAGCCTTCGCATAAATTCTATTGCAAAAATTTTGAAAAGAGTGAATAAATGAAATACTTGTAATGTCCTTTTATTTTTCATCTTATGATACATTCTTTGCAGCATTTTCGTGGCAATTATTTTATGCTTATTATACTCCATTCTACTTGTTAGTCTTGCGTGGTTATATAAAGCATTTAGAAAGACCTGATATAGGACAAACTTTCATTACACCAGTCGATTGGGAATCACCTACTGAATTGGCGTTGACCCGCTATTATGCCGATCCAGCAGATCGGCACTTATCAATATATTCTCGATATAGATGATTAGCTACAAATAGTAGTTTTGGAAGTTTTGGTGCACTAAATAAATGTGGAAAGTTTTTCTTTTTTTTGCTTATACATGTTATGCAAATTTTACAGCTAGAGCGTTTACAGCTAGAAAGTTAACAGCTAGAGCGTTGTATATTCGCTTTTCTCAGAAGTGTGCTCTACTCATAGAGAGAGGTTATAGTTGCGTATTGGTGAATGCCAATTTTGGTTGGCTAAGTTGAATTTGGAGACACATTTTTTAAATGGAGTGGAATCATTTTTCGAACAATCCCCATAAAAAGTTATATTCCTGTATATGGTAAAAAGTTAAATTTTTCCTATTTTATGACAAAAGTAAGTAGATAATTACTGTAACCGGATTGGTACAGACTATTTTTTATGGCGGCCTCGTCCGCTTTAATCGGTTTTAGTTATAGCACCTTCCATAAGTTGATTTGATAAGTTATAAGTCTACACACCTATCCATATGAACGTTCACATACACGGACAGAAGTATATACGTATATATTTTAGCCAAGAAACAATTCTAAGCTAAGCCCGTAAAACCTTCTCACATCAACTGCGATAGATTTATTTACTCAGAATATTTTTTTCCGTTGAGAGTATTTTTTTTCTTTAAAAAAATATCAACTCAACTGACACATACACCAGCGTCCAGTTTCTCATGCATTTTACACAGTCAGTATCGGCTATTTCCACAAGTTTCCCTGCATTTTATTAATCGCATGTCATTTTATTTGTTTTTCTTACAATTTTTTTGTCGCTGCTATAAAACTACTACTAGTAGAAAACTGTACATACGAAAATAATTGCTTTTGTATTCAAATTAATTTATCCGTTATTGAAAATTGCCTCGTATTTTTAAGCCCTTTGTTGTATTCAGTTTTAGTTCTATAATTTTTTATTCCATAGTTCCATAATATATTTTTTTAAAAATGGGGTCTTTTTTAAAAGCGAGCAAATATGTGCACTTTAAATTCGTTTTGCGCTTTCCAAGCTGTTTTGATGTTTGCATTTTTTAATAAAAGGATTTATTTAACATTTTGTCATTTTAACAAGAATTTATAGTGACGGGGAATGTACAAAAAAATGAGAAAAGAATAAAATCGGAAAACAAAGCAATAGTAACAACAAAAATATGTATAAAATGTCAAGTTAACTAAAGGACAGAAAGCGTAACGCTATCTGGATGGAATTGGGATAAAAACCAACATCGTATGTCAACAAGTGCAAATGATTTTATACGTAAACAAGCGTTAAAAATAGTTAGAACCTTTTTTTTTTCTCTTTTATACATTTTCAGTGATAATAACAAATTTTTATATTTAACGCATATGGAACTGAAACATGCACATGAACGGAAAGCGAAATTTAGTTTCTTTACATAGGTGCAAAATGCTTAAAAATAGTTTTGTTTGTTTTCTTATTTTCTTTGGTTTAAAATGTGGTTAGTAACCTGCAGAACACGTTTAGGTAAATTGCGATCATCTTCTTCCGTTATTTGTGTACGGTAGGTGGGTCTTTCAAAGACTGGCGGGTTATCGTTAACATCTTTAACATGTATTATAACGGTGGTATAATTTTCCTTTAAATTATCCGAAGCAGCTAAACGTAGCTCATACTAATTAAAATAATATAATTATAAAATTACAATAATTGAAAAAAAAAGCTTTCATATAACTTCACCAAATATCACAAAAAAGATTTTTATATAAATTGTTTTTGAAAATTTGTTATTTAAACAAAAAGTTGTAATACTAAATGGATTGTAGCCTTACCCTCCGTCGTGTTTCGTAATCTAAAGCCCCGGCCACATAAATGGCACCTGTCATGTTTTTAACAGCAAAAGCACCGCCGATATTACCGCTAGTAATTTCGTAACGTATACGTGATGCTAAGGACAGAAAAAGATTAATTTACATTCTAATAAGTTTATGCAGATAAGTCATTTCAAAAATATAAGTCAATTGTCTTAACTTACATTCATCATGATCTTTAGCTGTTACTGTCAGCACAGTATGCTGTATGTCCTCATTTTCATCAACCTCGGCTTCATATAAACTCTTATCGAAATAGGGTGGATTATCGTTTTTATCGGCAATTCCAATGCGTATAAATTTCGTCACTACAAAATGATGCAAAAATAGAAGGAAACAAATGCAAATAACAAAATAGTTAAAAGTCATAGAATAGAAAGCAACTAATTTTTGCGCAAGGCATATAGTAATATCTTCATAGCTACGTCGATAAGGAAAGTCGTAGATATATCGCTGACACGCAGATGAGAAAATCTTCGTTTGTAAATTTTAGAGAATAAATATCAAAATCTTTCATTTAACGTACGTCCACGTGGAAAGAAAATCCATTCAAAGCTTAAAATGTGGACGCATACTTGATTAATAAGAGGAGAATCCACCTTGTGTCTACTAAAAGTAAAGTGACTTTTCTGAATTTATCTACAAAAAAATAAAAGGCTTATAAACGGAGTGTCACTTAAGAGGCTAAGTGTGAAGAATATATATGGATTGATGGGTATCCCGCACTAACAATTATAACTGCAATGTGTCTCTTATTTTCGGTAACTCGCCAAGATTATTTTGGAAAAATGTAATATTTATATTCATAACGTAGCAACTTGCACTTCATTACTCCTCCCGCTATGCCGCTTTTTAGTAAATTATAGGTATCCTAAAAATATGCTACCTTTCCTATATGATAGCATGCGCTATTTTCGAATTAAACATTTCTTTTATCATCATCTTTTAAATAGTAATAGTAACTCCTGTTTTAAAACCTTAGTCTCGGTTTTTTTTTTTTTTTTTTGATAGCATAACATATAGTATTATTAACTAATTTAAATTCGAGCTTGTCATAAAATTCTTTACAAAGGTCAGCAATATAAATTGTGTAGGAATGGAAAAATAAACAAAATACCACACAAAGTTTTTTCATTGGCACGTAATCGGATTTTAAAGAGAAGGCGTAAACATATTACTCTAAACAAGTCGTAAAACCGATTTACATAACCATCCATGCAAAGAGTGCAAGTAATTTGTTTTATTTGTGTAGATACAATAAATTTTGGTTTTAGATAACTTCTGGTTTTAATGTTCACTTTATGCACATACACTGCCGCATATCTAGAATTCCCAAACACTTTATCGCATCCGAAATGTGTAAAATATAGCAGAGACTTTGAACAAATTAAATTGTGAAACAAACAGTATAGGCAGTAGCAGAAAAATATATATATATATATATATTTCCAGACTAATGTTGTGTGTGTTAAGTGCTAACTATATAATCTTTTCCTTTTCGGTAGCAAGCTTACAAAGGCGATGTCTCCTGCCTATGCCAGCAAAAGCATTCCTACAACTACTTAAAGGACATTTTTATAAACTTTTCTTTTGTAATGACTGACTAAATATAATCGGTTTTATTTTCCTCATTCTCTGCGAACAATTTCAGAGTAAAACTATCACATTATAATATAATCTAATTTTTCTTCTTCCCCCCAAAAGTTTATTCTTCTTTGGTAAAGAGATTTTTTCTTATAGTTTCACAAACTGAAAAGTTTACATAGTTTATGATTTCATTGGCAAAATATTATCCTTTTTTCCTTTACAAAGAGGAGGGAAAATTTCTTGATGTTATCGACAATTGCTTTCTAACCATGTTCTCTTAATCCCTGGGAACATTTTACAATAATTTTATATTGGTAAAAAGTGGAAATGAAACCCTTTTGACATTTTTCTTTGGTTGAGTTCTTAAAAAAAGTTCAAGTATGAAAGGAAAACGACATGTAACGAACACAATTCAAAGCTTTGCTTAGAAAAACTAAAGTTGTTTGGGTCTCTTTAACATTTAACTGTGTAAATAGGAAAACCAAGCTTTTGAACGGCTCGTTACTCCCAAGAGCTTAAATCATTTAATGTTGGTTTCGACAACAAATGTATACGTGCGAGTGATAGCAGAAAGTTCATACAGTTGGGTTTCCGTGCAAGCAAATAAGAACAATTATAGCAACCGTTGCCGTTTTGATGCGACGTTCCACAGTTTTTTTTCTTATTTATGTTGATATCCGTAAACTATTCTTCAAATTAATTTTGCGAAGAAACAATCATGACCTTAGCTTTGGCCATTTAAAGCGCGATGTTAACGAGAGACCAGTTTTTTAGCCATTTCCACATTTGTGTTAATGGCTCATGGCGTTTTCCATATGACGACCCTCCTCTATGCCTGTGCATCTAAAGTAAATGATTTTTGTGACCACAACAGCAGAAATCGAGAAACAAACTGATACATAAACGTCCGTTGTGCACAACGGTATTCTCTTGAACACTTACAATTCCATTACTGTAATCTAATGGCCTTTGACACTATATAAAATTAAAAACAAATGCATTCACTTTTAATTAATTTTCAATTCCATTTTTTATGTGGTGCGAGTTTTTTTCACTATTTACATGATAAAAAACACATCAAAACATTGACAGGTACTGACACTTGACAGCTTATTAAAACCACAAAATTGTTCTTGGCTTAGAACGAATCTCATGTCACTTGACAGGTAGTTTTTATTGTTACTTCAAGAATGTGTTTCCACAGCGAAACCAAGTGTATGGGGCTGATACTTGTTCGATCCCTCTCCGTAGCTATTTTGCAATGCAAACGTTTATTCTGGCTTCGGAAATTACTTTTATCACCTTTCAAAGGTAATATCATACAAAGGCAATAAAACACAAATTTGTAACCTATCGTGGCACTCTGAAATGATCCTCATAGCCTTTAAGTTTTTCTGATTGCAGATTTCGATAGAAAGCGCTGATAATATCTCTGATCAGCGCAGTGCCTGGACCGTTTATATAGTCTATGTAGAAGTCGATGGCAAGTGCATGCATGTGAAGGTATCAAAGGCTTTGATAGTCTTGACTTTTTTAAAACGAAGTCTAACAACAATTTTTTTTGTTTAAAATTGCATTAATCGATAAGTCATGTAGGTGCCAAGGTTGGATTTTTTAAGGTATTACAGACGTTACTACAACGTTTGCTTGTCTTCAAGCCGTGCTGGTACTGAAAACTACTATGTGCCAACCGAATTTCTGATCCAGGCTGGCTCGGAAGAGACCCACGGCTTATCGACAATTCAAAGATTGTTCAATAAATTATCCTTTTTGGTTCCGTACTTGCGCAAAACTGATTAGGCATTATCGATTCTTTGCCTTTTTTTTCTTCTTAGCCAGCGTGACTTGATTACCAATTTTGTCCTCCTTTTGACACAGGAATTCAGTTGCAAGCACCCGCATTAAAAGCGCAGAAGATGTAAATACAGATATACGGGGAAATATTAACAAAGGACTTTCCTCCGGATGTTCCTAGTGCTTATACATTTGTCGTTTAACTTACACTTTTAGTCCAAGCCGTCACATAATATTTTAGGCCAAAAAATGTGCATATCTTAACCTAGTATTGCGATACGAAATATTCCTCAAGCACATCTAAACAGCCAAGGCAAAAAAGCTGTAGAAGCATGGCGAAAAGTAAGACGAACCTTAATATTTTTTATGTACTAGAGTAGGGTCATGCCGACAACACAGAATTTCCTTTACATGTTTTCCTTGTTTTAATAAAACATTGCTTAGCAACAGTAAGGGTTTCATAACTGAAACATATAATGAAACTCCATTGAACTTGTTTTTCTATAAAATTTTAATGAGCATAAAAACTTCTCTGGTCCTATTCTGCAAACATATATATATGTAAAAATTTGCAGTGCCGGCGATCATAATTGCATAACTTTCTATACGCACTGTTAATGTTTATTTAATTTGTATATTAAACTTATCCTTTTTATTTTCTCTTCTCTTCTTCAAAGTCAGTATAGTGGAAACAAATAAAATTGTTTACAAAAATGTTGCTCTGAACCTTGCCTGCGAATGAATAAAATATAAGGGGCGAAGTGACGAGAATCGAGAAAACGCAAAGACAAGGGAAAAGCAAACAAAGAGACAAACGCTTATTTTTCAGTCGAATTGTAAAGATTATTGAACCGTAAAATAAATAATTTTTAACAAAAGAATATTTAAATATATTTATTTTGCAGAAAAATGGAAATAAACGTACAGAAATGTTTTTGTATTCCTTCAATTGAAACTTTTTCAAATTTGGGATTTCATTTTCTTCGAAAAGCAAGTGAAAACATGAATAAAAATATGTATTAAAAAAACATATTAAAAAAAATATGCAAAAAAGAAATAGTACGTATGTATTTATGAATATTGAACATGTAGATAAAAAAATGAACCATTAAGCACACATTTGTAAATGTCAGTTAAACTGTATTCTCTCATCGTTTCGCTCATGCCAGAATATGACTAAGCACTTCACTATTTGTTCCTTTCTTTTTTTTTTGTCCCCATTGCAAAATCTTTCGAAATTAATATTTCGAAAAAAAATGGGCCGCTGTGCGTAATCTACGTATGGTATAGCGGATAATTAATACGCGTCTCTCTTCCAGCTCCGATATTTCTCTAAAGAACTCTGGCAAGCGAAGGATTATAACAATCACAAAACATTTACGGTCCTCTCAAACTCTTGCCGTTGTATATCTAGTTTTATTGCGAAGGGTCGAGGTGCTTTAAAGGTCTTTGAAGGAAGAACTTGATCTGTAATCCGGTTAGCCATATCGATGTTATAAACTGTTTTTGAAGCACTTTTTTACTCGATCCACAAGTTCAAGCAGAATTTTTCTTGATCATATGTTCGAGCGATGTATTAACGTCTAAGAATGTTAAGCGATAGCTCGTGCACAGGCGCCAATATAGTTCGGCGATATGACTAGCAACCATAAGCGAAATTCCCTCTCGTATTAAGTCAATGCACAACGAATTTAGTAAATCGAAAAACGTCTAATTGTCGGCATCAACATGAAGTGTGATTGTCCAACAGACGGGGTATGTAAGAGTCGTGGCTGCTAAGTCGGTGTTCACGGGTTTACATCTCAGCGCGATTTGGCCACCCTTGGTCGTAGCGCGCAAGTTGCAACGGCGCCGTATCTCTTTCTCTTTCCCCACTTTTTTTTGGCTAACAACTATAAGATACGTTCCTGCGAGAGTGGAATTATCA